ACACACACACCCCGCCCGCCCACCCGCTTGCCCGCCGGCCCCCATTTTCACAGTCCAGAGAACACGGGCCCACGGATTAGCAGTAAATTGGTGGCGGCTGCAAAGTGATCGGCATGTGGCATGACATCTCGATGGTCAACACGCATTCACTCACTCAAACAAACGCACGCGCGGGACAAGGCAAGACGAGCAGAGGTTCAAGTCACATTCAAAGGGAAGGACAACAAAGTCCTTGTGGAGTCAAAGCGACAGTCGGGCTTCCACAAAAACACCCCTTGCTATCTCCGTGAGCGTTCCGGAGCGCTCTCGCGCGCGGGTGTTTGTTCCGGTGGGCGGCACAAGCCGGAAGGTTCTTCCAGCCGGCCGCCCCTTTTCTCAGCCGCCGATGAGCCGTTTGAAATGCATCCGCTGGTCGTCAAGCCGCTCTCCGGCGCAAAGGCGCCCGCCTGACGCGGCTTCCTTTTTCAAAACGATCGTCGGACCACCCCGTCCCCGAGGAATTCAAAATGTCTCGAGCTCGGCCGAGCGCTTTGGGCCTCCTCTCCGGTGACGACGTAGCCGAGTCAAAGGCCTCCCTTTGGGGGGTGAATTTCATGGCAGATGGCCGGCAACTGCGGGTGGACTTGCTCCGCAGAAGCCGGCTTTCACACTTTTTGCTTTCCAACTCGTTCAATTCTTTGGCCATTTTGACGCAGATCGCTTCGGGAAAGCTCCATCTAGCGATCTCGCGGCTTCCTTTTTCAAAACGATCGTCAGGACCACCCCGTCCCCGAGGAATTCAAAATGTCTCGTGGGGTCGTGGGGCAATCTTGTCTTGGGTTGTCTGATGGCCGGTCGCAAAGCGACACCTTTGGATGTGCTCCCAAAATATGTTATTCAACGTATTAAGCAGCTCAAGTTGTTCTTGGTTTTTGGTTTTTTTTTTAATGACGGCGTTTAAAGTGACACCACAGCTTTTTTTTTTTTTTTTTTTTTTCAACCAGGGGGGCGCCAACAAACGGCCACCCCCCT